TTGATAACACACCATCGTCAAGGGTTCAGATCCCCATACTGACCAGCAGCCAAAAAAATAAATAAAATAAAAGCACCCCAAATTCAGGAGTGTGATCCTCTCTGGGGAGGGATCCACAGAAGGCTTTCAATGCATCAGTTGTTTTTGTTGTTGTTGCTGGGTGGTGAATGCACACAGGCACTTGAGATTGTGTGTGTATGTGTGTGTGTGTGTGTGTGTGTGTATGTGCACATGCCTGGTCAGTCCTCATTTTTCACAGATGTTTGAGAATTCACCTACTTGCTCGAATTTATTTGTAATCCCCAAATCAATACTGGTGGGACTTTCTAGGTCATTTGAAGACAGACATACGCAGAATGGTGCAAAATTGGAGTCTCCCTACAGGCAGTTTCCCAGCAGAGGTCACATGAGGTAACGTGCCGCCTTCTTATTTCAGCTCTCTTACCATGAACAAGTGTCCTTCCTGGGGTTTATTCAATGCCGCATGTTTTCAACATTTTTTGTTGGTGATTTCACTGTTGAACATGGCCCCCAAGCATAGCACAGAAATGCTGTCTAGTGTTCCTAAGCATAAGAAAGCTGTGATGTGCCTGACAGAGAAAACATATGTGTCAGAGCTGCCTGCTTCAGGCATGAGTTATAGAGCTGTTGGCTGTAAGTTAAAAGCGAATGGATCCACCATGTATATTAAATGAAGTGTCTTTGAAACACACACAACACAAAGTTATGTATTGATTGCTTGATGAAAATGTGATCAGAGGCTCACACAAACCTACACCTGTATGTCCCCTAGGAGCAGCAGGTGGGGTATTTACTAATTCAGTGTTCACAGCACCTTTATGGACAGATCCACCACAATAAAGAGAATCAACAATTTACTCTGTGTGTGTGATTTTTGTATGCCTGAAACATTTTGTCATTTAAATTTTAAATTAAAAAAAAGTAATTTAGATAAAAAAATAATTCAACCCTGTAGTTTCAGCTCTACTTTGAGAAGTTTCCCTTTCATCTTCCAAATGTCTTCAAGGCTACAGACAATACTACTCAAAGTGGAGTCCGCGGAACGGCGCAACAGGATCACCTGGGAGCTTGTTAGAAATGCAGGATCTCGGGCCCCACCCAGGAATCAGGAACTCTGGATTTAAACAAGCCCTGCTGGCGATTCTGATACACGCTCAAGCATGAGAACCAGCTGCTCTGTGAGAACAGCCTCACAACTGGTCTCACTGTGCATCCCCTTCCTGATGACCAGGGGAATTAAGAATTTAAGATCAGTAATCCCCACTTGCTGGGCATTGAGATGTCCTGGAGCTTTAAAAATCACAGACCCTTGGACTCCATTCCCAGGGATTATTATTTAATTGATCTGGGGTGCAGCCTAAACGTGAAATCTTGTGGATTTCTTTTGTTGTGTTGTTGTTGTTTTCAGTTCCCCTGGTGATTCTAATTGCAACCATGGTTGAGAACTTCTGGCCAAAACAGCAAATGATTCAGCTGAAGGAAAAGAAAAGAAGTCGGTGGTCTTGGGCGCCCCCTGCTGACGCTCATCTCCCAGGGACCTTAGATGCAGGTGCAAAAAGGAGCCTGCCCACGCAGGCTTTGAAAGAACCCTCTACACATATCTAAAGTCTACTTGATGTATGTGCTAGAAATGCCCTTTCTAGATATATGCCCATTTAAATTCCTGATTCCATTTCAAAGCTGTTGCTTAGATGTTTCCAGTTATCCTTTGCAAACACAGACACACACAGAGACCACATTATTTATGTGACAAACCCTAACATAGCATTTACTATGTGCCAGCCACGAACATAAACACTCCATAAATAATAACTTCCAACCTTGTAGGTGTCCTTTGAAGCCGGTACTATTACCCCTCCCTTTTGCAAATGGAGAAACTAAGGCGTGGAGAGGTTAATAGTTTGCCTCTTACTATGTGCCAGCCACAAACATAAACACTCCATAAATAATAACTTCCAACCTCGTAGGTGTCCTTTGAAGCCGGCACTATTACCCCTCCCTTTTGCAAATGGAGAAACTAAGGCGTGGAGAGGTTAATAGTTTGCCTCAGTTATTAAGCAGAGGCATCAGGGTTTAAACCCCAGCAGCCTGGCCCCAGATCTGTGGTCTTAAGCACGTGATTGCTCTGCTGCCTATACTCATGACACTCCCTGCACCGTTTGCTTTATTATCCCAGAATCTAACACCTGTTGTGTGCCAGACATGGCATCCCCATGTTACCCAAGAGGGAGCACAGACTCAGAGTCCCCGTGCCTGTTTCCACTCTGTTTCAGATGGATCTTAGGCCTCACAATTTCCCAGACCCACAGGCAGCCACCGCAGTATCTCAAAGATCTGGGTTTACTTCCTGCCTCTGCTGCATCTCAACTGTGACTTTGGACAAGTCGCTTCACCTCCCTGGGCCTCTATTTCCCCATCAGAAAAATGGACATAGTACCCATTTCTAAGTCATTAAGTTGCCATGAGAATTTACCCAACCTCCTTTCTACACTGTCACCTAACATCCCCTTTCACTTGTCATGATGATTCTCTAAAGATTAAAAAAAATTGCATTATTGTTTCAACTGGCTGTAACCTAAATTCACCAAAATACCATGTCCATCGTGCAGCTGTGTTGAATAAGGTGGTGTCAGGGGAGAAACCGCCCCCCGACACACAGCTGTTTCACTAGCGGGGCCAAAGGTTGGGCCCTGAACACAATCTGGTGAAATAGTCTCTCTGAGCTAAACACTAGAACCATTCTGACAAGTTGATGCTTAAAACCCTACTACAACCTCATCTCCATTAGCATGGCTAGAATTGTTTTAAAACCCACATAAAATAGCAAGTGTTGGTGAAGATGTGGAGAAATTGGGACCTGCATGCATTGCTGGTGGGAATGGGAAACGTGCAGCCACTATGGAAAATAATACGATGTTTCCTCAAAAAAAATTAAACATAGCATTCCACTTCTGGGTATGTATCCAAAAGAACTGAAGACAGCGTCTCCAAGATATATATATACATCCATGTTCATAGCAGCATGACTCACAATAGCCAAAATGTGGAAGCAGCCCAAATGTTCATCAACAGGTGAATGGATTTAAAAAATCTGGTATATACATGCATGGAATATTATACAGCCTTAAAAAAGAAGGAAAGTCTAACACATGCCACAACATCTATGAATCTTTAGGACGTTATGCTAAATGAAAGAAGCCAGCCACCAAAAGATAAATACTGTATGATCCCACTTATATGAGATCCCTAGAGTAGTCAAATGCACAGAAACAGAAAGTAAAACAGTGGGTGTCGGGGCTGGGAGAGGGGCTGGGGGAACTAGTGTTTAATGGGAACAGAGCTTCAGTTTTGCAACATGAAAAGAGTTTTGGACATAGATGAGGGTGATGGTTACACAACCATGTGAATGTTTTTAACACCACTGAATGTACATTTAGAAATGGTTAAGATGGTAAATTTTATGCTATGCATATTTTATCACAATTAAACATTTTTTTAAAATGCAATTTCAATAAATCCTCAAAAAGATAAAGAAAGGAAAACTTGGTCATATAACTACTATGGCTTTTTTTTTTTTTATTAAAGTGAGAGGGGAATGCTTCCAGCCAAAATTTTCACTATTCTTTAGCCAAAAATGTTTGAAAACAGAGACCGTACACTGAAATGCTTATCAGGTGACCTTCAGGCAGAGACATCAAAGAGCAAAGACAGAATCTGTCCTTCTTTCTTTATATGAGTTTGTTTTTTGTTTTTGTGGTGGTTTTTGGCAGCTGGCCAATTCAGGGATCCAAACCCTTGACCTTGGTGTTAGGACACAGCACTCTAACCAACTGAGCTAACCGGCCAGCCCTCAGTAAGTTTTAAGTGGTGAGATTATGAGCGATTTCGCCATTTCATGTTGTATCTTTCAGCCTTTTT